TAGCTGACCCAGACTCTGTAGCTGACCCTGTAGCTGACCCTGACCCTGTAGCTGACCCAGACTCTGTAGCTGACCCTGTAGCTGACCCTGACCCTGTAGCTGACCCTGACTCTGTAGCTGACCCTGTAGCTGACCCTGACTCTGTAGCTGACCCTGTAGCTGACCCTGACTCTGTAGCTGACTCTGTAGCTGACTCTGTAGCTGACTCTGTAGCTGACTCTCTAGCTGACCCTGTAGCTGACCCTGTAGCTGACTCTGTAGCTGACCCTGACCTATTACCCTTCTTCGTATGTTTTTTTTTTTGCTGTGAACTTGTTCTCCTTCCTCTCCCTTAGAACCCCCTCCCTCTCTGACGATGGTTGACGCCACTCTGACTGAAGTGGGCAAGAACCTGAGTGAAGCCATGAGGATCCTTGGAGATGAACAGACGTAGGAAGAAATGTTTGTTAACAAAGATCCAGAGCGTCAGTAAGATGGAGGCTGATGGAGCTGCTGTGTCTGTTTCTGTGCAGGGAGTCTGACGCTGGAGCTCCAAGCAGAAGGTTCAGTAGAACCAGCATCCCTGGACCCCTGCAGGGAGAGTAAGTGACTCTGTCAGCTTCACAGACCCGCCCACATTTCACTGTTTATGCTTTCATCTGGTCGATATTTTTATATTAGAAATGAAAAGCCTCAGAAAGAACGCCCAGAACAAAGTGATGGCAATCATTTTAATGTGTTTATCAAACTACACTTTAAAACACATCAAACCAAGACCTTCAGACAGACGCCTAACCCTAAAGGTCATTTCAAAACGAAAGATAGAAAAAGATAATTTGATATAAAAAGATATCTAATTCTTGTTCAGCCGCTAATTAAACGAGCAAGTTGCTGCAACTTAACAAGGAATCAGATTTAAGTTGCTTTTTGCTTTAAAGCAGACATGTTGGAAAATCTGGTTGAACTGGTTTGGACCTGGGAGGTTGTGGGGGGGGGGTTAGTGTCCAGGATGTGTGTGCTCTGCAGAGACGTCAGCTGCTCTTTTAGTGGATTCCAGTCCTGGATGGAGGGAAGCTCAGCTCTGATGATCCTCTCTGCTAGTTCTGCCCACATTTCTTGGTCCCCTGTTGAAGTATAAAGTTAGGCCGGCCTAAACGGCACCAGTTTTCCCCTTTTTGGGCCGATTCTGCAGTTCTGCTAATTTTTTGGATCAGACCGAGTTTCAGGCTCATGGTGCTTCCTGCGTCGTGTAGCATACAGGGGGTAAGGAGGGGCGATCAGCCTCTAACGACCGCCTCCCCATCAGGAACCGAAAGGTCGGGAGAAAATCAAGCATGGTTGAAATTGAGTTGGGCGTCTTGTTGAAGCAGAGCTACAAGCCGATTTACCAGAACTTCACGCACTGCACCTGGGCAGACAAGGGAGTTCTTCTTCTTCTTCCAGATTGAAGAGTCCGACCAGCGCCATCTCTTGGCGCTGAGTTTTCTGGACCTTCAGTGGAAGAACAAACATTGATCGCTGTGAACTTTTAAATCGTCGTCGTGCAGCTTGAGCTGTAGCTGAGAACAACGTTGGATGCTCCTCCTAAAGAGGCAGTTTCTATTTATGAATCAAAATATTGATAAGTCTCGATGAATTTCATGTTATGATAAATTAAGATACAACTGGAGTTAATTAATCAAACATTAAATGTTCATTTTAAACTAAATAAATGGCCTAAGTATCATAGTCGGCTGTAAATCATAGAGTTTCAGTAACTGAAAGTAGATTAGCTGTTGCTCCAATCAGACAGACCTGTGGGTTATAAACAAACTTAAAGCACGTCGTGGGAAAAAAGTATTCAACCATTTATTCCAGTTAAATAAACAGAGATCGATGGATTTCACTCAGTCTGCATTTTATTTTATTTTATCTTTGCAAAGAGAGAACAGTTCATCATA